GTCACTGGGAGGGTTTAAGTGGACCCTTAGCGCTGCTACTACCTTCCAGCTTTTATCACATTATGCTGGTATAAGGTGAAGGAACTACATCATAGCAAGTTGATGTAGGTATTTCTGTTTGCTGTATACGCAGATTTGTTAGACAACGAGGACTATGTTGAGGTGAGCAATATTGGACGGCCTATCGATATAAAGACCTGGCTAGGCTTAAGTTACCACAGGCGTCGAATGAACAGTCTTCGAAGGCTCTGGTCACTCAGAAGTTGGAACAGTTTAGAAAAGGCAAAGAACTTCAGGTAAGTCGTCGCATACATTGCAATGGGTACCTCTACCATACCCTGTTATTGTTTGACCATCCTCCACCAGCGTTGGGAAATAAATCGTCAGGCACGAAATGAAAGAAACAAGTTATTTGACAACGTCTAACAATCTTCCTTGTGTAGGTATATAACGCGTTTAGTCGCTTGCCTCCGTGACCCTGACGTAGAAGTCCTTATCCATAAACAACACCGCGCTCGAGGAATCCATGGGGTTCCGAGGGTTGACGATCTGGAAATCGAATGCCCGGAACAGCTAACCAAGTGTAGTGAGGTCAGCTATCCGAACCGGCTACGCAGATTACGACCCAGTAGTCACATACCTCGAAGAAGACCTTGTTCAGCTCCATGAAGGCCAGAGGCTTTCCGGCGCACATCCATCTCCCGTACCCGAAGTTCAACTCCACGTTCCTCTGCATCTCGGAGCGGGCTGCCCCGCCGATCTCTAGGAAGCGCTCGGGACGAAACATTCCCGCATCGGCCCCGAAGAGGCTTTTTGATCGCATAAGGGAGGCGAGGTTCATTCCGACGCTGGTCCCGCCGGGGATGAACTTCCCGTGGATAGTGTCGCCTTCTGGAGGCACCACCTTGGGGTTGAACCCTAGCGATACGGAGCGGATGCGCAACCCTTCGTAAATGACCGCCTATCCCGGTTGCAGGGTTTGATCCACTGGTTATCTTGACAGCAACCTATAGCTAAGTGGTACGCAGGCTGACACTTACCTGCAAATAGGGGAGAGCTTTGGCCTCCGACTGCTTGATTGGACTCGACGCCCGACCATCACGCACAGCTTCGGAAATCTCGCGCCTGAGACGATGGTAGATCAGGGGCGCCGACAATATGTAAAGCATGGTGGCGCGTATGGCCGAGGAAGTCGTGTCTGAACCAGCGATAAACATGAATAGGGTTTCTACCTCGCAATGCTGTTGCGTGAGGCCATTTCGCACAAATGTCCCCTGATACGGGCGAGATTGTTACACCAGTCCAAAGTGTGTCAAGGTGATGATACACTTACAATCATGTCTTTCGTATCTTGTGCATTTGGTGCGTAATACTGGCGAACAATTTTGTTTGTGATACTGACAAGATCGTGTTATTTCTAGCTTCCCATTCTCCCATCTCCAACCCGCCTTTGATACAAGGCATGAGACGAAGCAACTTACCCCATGACCTTCCCTAGCCCTACAGTATCTGTCTCTCGAGGTCCGAATAGCTTGAGGCCAGTAGAGGAGTATACGATGTTTCGGATCCACGGAATTTCACTTGTCAATGCCATCATTGGGAGGTGGTTCTTCATTGTGTTATAGAAACTGTGAGGGTCGCTGTCTGTCTGGAGGCACCCAAACTCTTTACCCAGAGCAACTCGGGATATGACGTCTAGGGTGAAATATCCGCTGACTCTGGAAAGGTCGAGCGTCCGAAACTCCCCGCTGCGCGGAGGCGCCACGTATTTGCTCCGGATCAGATCGACGAGGTTCTTGATCTGCTCCTCCACATTATCTTCGATACCCGGTGTGGCCCTACCACTATATGCTGGAGACAGCTTCGCCTTGATCTTATCGTGTCCCTCAACGTCCTTCGTATTGAACATGGTCGGATGGTAGGGGTTGAGTCGACTACCGTCATACCAGCCTGCTTTCGTATACACGCCTTTAGCGCCATTAGCCATGCGCACGACGTCTGGATCATCTGTGACAATCTCATTAGGCCCAACTCGCACGAGCGGACCGTATTTCTCGTGCAAGGCTATGTTGGTCTCATAGTATGTCTTCTGAAGACATTGAGGAACAAACCAAAGATAAGAGAACGAAGCAAGGAATGGCCCTGGGATATGACGAAGGCGACGCCAAGCTATGAATGTCGATATCAAGTACCATGACACCACACACGATGCCAACAGACCCAGAGTGCCGCCAATGCTTCCCGTCGTGGGAAAGAACGCCATATTCTGCAAGCTTGACTTTGATCTAGGGGAGGTAGATCAAGGGTGCTCAGAACTAAGCAGACCCTTTCCAACCCATATATGTCATAGTCGGCAAATACCCCAGAGCTTCCACATGATTCATACAGTCTTGTTTCTTTTGTTAATAACATGATTGGCTGATCATACATGCCGGAATATTTCGTCACAAGACCTGCCATCGATGTCAAGGTAGCTTTGCCATTGAGGCGGGGTCTTTCATCGGTGTCTCGTAGTCGTCTAGAGCCAGACACATTCATGCAGCTTACATTAGAAAGTAACATTAACATATATATCGGTCTGAGATACATCGTATTGCTCCACCAGTCACTGTCGCAATATCAACCACTCGCCCACAGGATTAGAAGCCAATAGGTCAGGGGCTAATACGAATCACTTTAGGGTGGTGATAAGCACTGTTCACGCATGAAACATAAATGTAATATCGAGCTCTAATATGCATCCATGAGACTGATAACGATCATGGTCGACTGATTTGTTTGCGATCGAATAAATAGCGTCACCAGTTTGAACTAGGTACTTTTGTAGGTTGTTCCTTTTATAAGGATTTCCACGCTATAGTATTGTTTTGATAGAGAAATGGAATATTAGGTATCTATTACTGTCATACGACTGTTATAGTTATGCTGTTCTACGGCTCTAAGGAGGAAAAAGAGGAAGAAAGATACAGGGACGTGAAGGGGGGTGCTGACCCCCTATAGTGGAACCCCACGCCCCACGTCTGCTCTGTAATAACTTTATGAACATGAGACCGATGAAAACTGGAGAAGGAAGAGAGTTATAACGGGTTTATTTCTTGCTCATATTGAATGGGAAAAGGGGCGTTATAGGAATGTTGCTCTAAACATTTCTATCTAAGCATCATAAAACCGGTAAAACCGGTGGTGGTAACGTTATTGCCTCTTCCAATACCTCGCCCCCCAATCTTTCATACCTACACAGAAGACCCACCGATTAGCCACCGCGTTCCTTCGTAGGTAGGTCGAATGACCAACGACACAGCAATCACCCAGAGATAATCTACGGGATCAGATAATAACACCCAGAGCTAAGGTGGCCGTCGTCAGCAAAGAATGAGCGGCGCTCATAGAGCTACCATCTCTGACGGTACTCATGTGTTTAACCAAGGATCCCCTCGTCAGGTGTTTTGACCTTGCCGCCTCCATGCTTCGTTAGAGGTGTTCTAGGAGAGGCAAAGCCAGTTAGAGCTGGAAATCCTCAGTAGTGATGCGATTGGTCGTCAGGCTGAATCAAGACCAACAACCTATATATACGAGCACGCGGATCGGTTACCTAGATGTCTACTTTCAGCATCCACCACGGCGCCTCCATCAACCCTGTGCCCCATCCACCGCCACCTAATCAGCAGTGTGGCACCGCTCGGCACAGAAGCAGGAAGTGCACGAGATGATCTAGCAGGTGCTATGATCCCGAGCGCTGCCGTAGTCGCTACTTTGGCTCACGGCAACGAGAGCTTGCGACACTGTCACCTGGGAGGCCTTGAAAGCCACCGAACTCGCACAGGGCTCCCAGTTCATGATCGCGTCGCGGCCGCCCCGCACGGTCGCGCGACACGGATTTGCCAGCAGGTCTTTGGTGGATGACACATACACGGCGCCAGCACGTGCGGACGGCGGCAGAATATGTAGGTAGGTATAAGACGCTATGCATCCGCGCGCCGGGCGTCGCGGCGATATCCCGCGGGAACGAAGGAGCTGCTTGATAGGTAGAGGGGGCTCTTCTTGGGATTCTAGAAGCCGGTACTGAAACAGCGGAACTGATTGAGGCGTAGCGGCGGTGCTGTCCCTGTCTTCTGAGTCTGGCCCAAACCAGAGAAGGAATACCTAGTCGATTGATGCGTAGGGTGTCGGGTCCGCCACGATAGCTCCAGCGCCGAACCGCCCCGCGCCATCGGCCCCTGCGCCGGACTCGCGTAGTGTCTGTTAGTGGGGATGGCACTCCGCGCCGGTTCTTGGTGCTGGCGACGATGCTCCCGTTGGCAGGATTGGACAATCTTGTGCGGGCATCACCCTGCACATGGAAGAACTGTGCTGTGTACTTAGTTACATCCGTGATCGTGGAAGAGCCTGACGGTAATAAGCAGACCATTGTTGCTATTATCAGCTCCAGACTTCGAACCTCCTGCGCCGCATATAGGGCTTCGTGTTTATGGAATGGAATAGACGATCAATTGTCTATACGAAGTACTATCCATGGTTACCTAGAATTCAAGGGGAAGAATAAGAAGATGCGATTGGTGGTTGTAGCTATGGCATTCTCCGCATTAATGGCCCCCACCCCCCTTTCTCCCCGCCGATGATGGCAAATACTACGAGCTGGTCAAAGGTAGTTCGCGCCCTTGAAAGTTATTATTGAGCCGTAACAATCTGTACCAGCTTTTCACTCTGTATCCTTCGACTAACAATCGTTTCGCCCTTTCCTTTTCTTTATGTTCTATCAATGTACAACCGCTTTCCCCTGTCTGTCGCATTGCGGGAGTGTCGGTCCGCGTCTGGCGACTTACAGTAGCCCCTGTTAACCGACGAGCGGCAACACTACTATAGCTCCGGCGCGGACCATTACACAGTAGCGGCACATCGCTAAAAAAAAAAAAAAAAAAGAGCCAGTGAATATAGATCGTGAAAATGCCTCATTTTTTCATCCGATCTCGGAGTAAGATCACCAACGAGCGACAAGTTCAGCATCAGTGGTTTAGTGGTAAAATCCATCGTTGCCATGCATAGGAATCTCCTATAATGAATTCGATGGGCCCCGCGTTCGATTCGCGGCTGATGCATTTTTGTTGCTGTATCCAATCCTCCAATCCTGATAATTCTGGCCTTCGAATCATTTGATTCTGGAAGGACAAGACGAATACTCCTCGCCAGTAGACACCTAGCCACCGTAATTGTTAAATTTTTTTTGTTCTACTTTTTCCTTCCCCCACCCCGCTTCACTGCAGCTTATTGCCGGTCGCCATGTTCCTCTATGGGCGGAAGCCGGAAGGATAATCGTTTCTCTGTTCATGCTAGACGACTGACATCCAAACGTTGCTCACTTATTGAGCAGCTGTTGTACATGCATACCTGTGTTGTGTTGCAGGGGCCACTCACTGCTATCCCATTTAGTGACCTGCTGCTGTCCTTGACTTCTGCCTTGCGATGTCGTCCGTCGCATTGACGAACTCCACTCGCAGAATCTCATGAACGGCGCTGTCATTCCCGTTGTTGGCTACGATGTGGAGCGGCGTGAAGCCGTCGCGCAGGCGCGCTAGGTCAGGTTTCGTGTCCCGTTCTAACAGCAACTTGATGGCTTTGCTGTTATCATGCTCCGCCGCTTGGTGGATACAGGTCTCTTGCGAGTTTGGTGGTGTTCACCTGGGCTCCCGCGTCAACCAGGCATTTTGCGATGTCGGTTCTGCCATGGGTGGTGGCAAGCGAAAGCACATCGGAATATGAGTAATGCCGCGCCTGGAGCGGCATATTCGGGACCCTTCGGAGCAGGAAATCCACCAGGTCGCATTGGTCACCTGACACGGCCTGGAGCACAGCAGTATCGCAGATACTGAAACCTTCCTTGAAGTTTCCGAGCGACGTTGGCTTGAAGCAATTTACGTCTCCCTGGGGCCCATTCTGCTGCCTTGACCTCCCACTTCCTGTCCACTCTTACGAGTGCCCCAACATCGATCAGCGCTTCAAACATGGCCTGATCGAACGAGACTATCAAGATATTACCAGTATTGTGTATGCTGGTATGTTACAATGAAACTTAGCAGATTACGAGCTTTATTACGATAAACCAATAGCCCATTACATATCAGCCCCCACCCCCATTCGCACGATTTCCACTGCTCCATTATGCAAATCCAGCCATATATTCAACTGCCTTCTATGTCCCTCCCCGGTCTATATCACTGCTTTAATACTGCCCCGATATCCGTCAAATACTTGCACCTCCGCTGCGTGTCTTCCGCGACCGCCTCCATTGTCGTGTTGCCTCCCGTCTGGAACAATAGTCTGTTCTGGCTCGAGCCATTCCACGTCTCCCACTCGGCAGTGTCTGGAAGCCGAAACGTGTTCGGGTCGAACGACTGGATAAAGCTAGTCCAATAGCTTTGGATCACAGGGACGATATGGGCGTTGACCCCGCCGGGACGGTAGCTATCGGGACCCCCACCCGTGTTGTCCGGACCGAAAATCGCGTTGACCTCGACCGTATGCGGCACTCCGAGACCTTCGGCGATCTGGCCCGGGTCCTCCACTATGTATGTAGTCAGTCAGCTATCTCCTTGCGTTCTATATTCCTTGGGCGCATAACATTACCATTATAGCGATAGTTCCACGACTGTGGTACGCCATACTGCGCCGCCATTGAAGAGATGAACATGGCCGGACACATGAACCGCATGTCCCCGTACACATCGCTGACCTGCCGCCAATAGCAGCCCGAGCTAGGGCACGAGGTGTCCGTGTTCGGGTAGAGCGAATTGATCTCGACGAAGTGGTCGAGGCCCAGATACGGGTACTGGGTGTGCAGGAACACGTCGCTGTCCTGCAGGGTGGCGGCGTCCCGCGGCGTGAAGATCGTGCCGCCGTTCGTGTCGTCCCCGAAGATCAGGGGCACCTTGACGAAGCGACCCCAGGCGAAGGAGTTGTACGTGAGGTCGGTGATGAGGTCGTAGTCGAGCACGGGGCCCCACATGAACACGGGCGCGCCCGCCGCGCCCGGGTACGGCACGTTGGCGTTGTGGGCCTGCAGCTCGTCGGCCGTCTTGTTGCGCAGGCAGGCGAGCGAGTCCTGGATAGGGCCGACGCACCCCAGCCGGATGGCGAAGTTCTTGTACTGGTACCGCGACTCCTCGACCGTCAGCACGGTGGCGAACGAGGGCGACTCGGCCGCCGCGGCGTGGAACAGGCCCTCGTTCCGGCCCCCGTACGCCGCCAGGTGGATGCTGATGCTGGCCGCGCCCGCCGACGAGCCCCCCAGCACCACGTGGTCCGGGTTGCCGCCGAACGCCGCGATGTAGCGCTGCACCCACGCCATGGCCTTCCGCTGGTCGCGCAAGCCATTGTTGGCCTTGAGCGCGCCGTCGCTCGTGATGAACCCGTAGGGCCCCACGCGGTAGTTGAACGTCACCACGATGATGGAGTAGTTGCTTGCGGCGATCAGACCGCTGCCGTCGACGTTGGGGTTGCTGTTCGTGTTGAAGCCGCCGCCTTGGATGAAGAAGAACACCGGCAGGTTCGAAGAGGCCGTCGCGTTTGCAGGCGCGTAAATGTCCAGAAAGAGACAGTCCTCTGAGGTGTCGGGGTTGCCTGGTGCGGCGCCCGTTCCTAGGCACCATTTCCCATGCTATGTGAACCACAACGTATCAGCTACCTTGATCTTTCAGGCTAATTGGCAGTAATTCTCAAGACCTCTCTCACCTGATCTACTACCTGGACCTCATCATTGCATGGTGGGTCCTCGGGTGGTAAGAACCTCAGTTCACCGAGAGGCGGTGCTGCGTAGCGGATGCCGAGCCACTTTATGATGCCGTTCGGCGCTGAGACACCTTGGTATTTGTTGCAGCCCAGATCAACGGTATTGTTGACGTAATACGCATATGCTACCGACGAATATAGAACAAGGAAGAGGGACAAGTGCATGATCATGGTAGAGGCCCGCCGTCACGGGAGTCTAGCCAGCAGCACTCTTGCTAATGTTCTTGCCGGCAGGTCGATGATTGCCATATTAATAACCCAGCTGTGTGCAAAAAGTCGGAATGTCGCGACTTTTGAGCTTCGCGGTGTGGCGTTGGCTTGTGATAGTGCCTGCCTCTAACTAGCGACTGGAATGCCACGAGGGGAAGGCCGGAATGCTGGGCTGTCACTCCCCTTAATAAACAACCAGCATGGGTATATCTTCGGGGCGACGATGAGCCATATTAATACCAAGCGAAAAAGCCCGAGGTGGTGTCCATCTCCATAGCAAGACCGCTTACCTACTTCGCATGCTTCGTTGGCTACCTACTACATAGGTATTTCTCCTATGGTTGGGCTGCTATAAGGAGCGAATGGCCGCCGAGGTGTGGGTCACGAATGCCGAAAGATCTCGGCAGTTCATTCCGACTTTCCTCATTTGGCCAGCGGGGTGCCACTGCAGCGGATGTGATTGGCCGCTGCGCTTGACCAGGCGGATATACTATGTGGGCTGTGTGGGGCAGGTACCCGCCAACGTGATAGTCTAGACAATATAAAACAGCCTGCAAAGACTCGGGTAATGCACCGAATATATTGGCTGATCTGATCTCGGATACGGGTTCGCTTACGCATTCGGTTTTTGCCGAAGGCGATGCATAATTTCCCCTTCTATCGTATGTTATACCTACGACGTTGATCAATGGGGCTGGGAGACAACAGTATGATGTCTTTGAGAGAAGTCTCAAAACTTGAAACTAGAATACACGAATCTTGAAGTCGATGGTGATAACTAATTATGCATTCACGATGATTATGAAGCTACGAAGCCCTGTGCATAGACTTGGACTACCTATAGGTAACCAGCTTGAAAACAATATGCTCGCCGACAGTACATTCTATACAAGGACCAAATTAGCCAAGAGAGTATCGTGAGCTTCAAATCCATTGTCTGAGCATGAAATTTGCACCTGCGTTAGCTATCTAAGAGGCTTACATGATCAAGTTTCGATACGATCAAGGCTCGCCACGTTTATATCATTCTTGTTTGCACTTAAGCGTTGAAAAGAGATGTGATACGCACCCATCACTGCAAACCGATCAATGGTATGGAGTCTTGGAGAATCACAGATGCCGTACAGAAGGTCTTCATACGGATACACCAGTGCTACACCCTGTGTCTTATTAGTGTCTACGATCCCTGATCCATAAATACTAGTCATCCACACTTAGATCTATCCTATAGCTCCGGGGAAATAAGAGGCGAACTGAGTACGGGGCAAACTCGCCAATAGCAGGATGAAAGAGTCATTGCCTAGCCGCCACTACTACCTACCTAAATATTATATTCATGAGTGTCGGAACTAACTCTGGATGTTATCATTCAATCTGTTAGCTGTCACAGTTCGCAACTATTTACTAAGTGTTTTCGATGCAGTCTCTTTACTCTATTGGAACCTCTTTATCAATACCAATACTCAGATTCCCTCGATACAGCTGTTCTCAAAATAGTGGGAAAGAAAATGTATAGATGAGTAAGGTATCAATACATTTCAATCATACCATCATACATACTGAAGCCCAATATAGCATAATCTGGTTGGATTGAGCTCTTCGGAATTTTTCCTAGGTTACATATTTCCGAAGTTGAGATTTCATCTTCAGGGAACGATAGCAACCCATGGTCACGAGCGCAGATATTTATATTCAAACTTGAGAGAATCCCGAGTAAAAGTCATCTCCACAGTGCGTCGGAACCTGCTTTCGTGATTTGCTCCTACTTTACTCATATCCATTAGTTGTTGTAGTTTTGGATTTTCTAGCAGTCGCTACATAATTGCTAGGATAAGCTAAATGGGCATAGTTTGGCTTGAAGCATGAAAGCGGTGTCATATCGGCAACTGCATACTAGTATCTCGGGAAGGAGCCCTTTAAACAGTAACTATCTGCAACTTCCACCATATTTGACCTTTTTCCCCTACGCCATTACCATTACCAATTACATCACATGGTTGGATTGGTCAATATCTACTTGGGCAGGCACATTGCTGTTTCATTTCAACTATCTGCTTAATGACAAATATGGAACGTCTCCTGCGGTTGACCCGCCAATTCTCCT